CGATCTTTGTAAACATTATTTATGTGCATCTTATTTTGAAAAACAATCATTGCCTCTCAAATACAAAGTCTCTTTCTGAAAGGAACAATGATATTCAAACTTATAAGGTCACCGTTACCCATCAAACAAGCTTCACCTCAGTAACTGAGTGAACTTACCATGACCTTTCAACTGTTTTGTAATAGGAAGTCCACCTTTGGAACCAAATTCGATCAATTTAACCACTAATCTAAATTTCAACTTGTAAAAGGTATTGTGACGGTCATGCCGACACAACCCCCAGGTCGTCCTCGGCCAACGTCAGCGAGCGGTCTAGTCTGAGGCAGCCAAGGAAGTAGGCCCATTTTGGGGCAGTCTACCGCCAGGTGCAGCAGGAGAGCAGTACAGGCACTGGGGTAGAGGACAGGGTGGGACACATGGGCATAACAGACCCAAACCGACATGTCTGCCTAAGGTGACTCTGGTTTAATAATTGCTCACACCTCTCAAGGCCCTACTAATGATACGACCTTCATAGGCCCTGGCAATCTCCTAGTCAGATCTTGGCCCTATACATGTGTAAGCTACAGGCACAACTTGTTTTACATCCACCGAATTCCCCCATAAGAATACTGCCAGGTGGATGGAGTTCCCCTTATAAACTCGTCCCCAGATGATTTATATTAAGTCTAAAGATCCCCCGGTAAGTTGCTTACTTACGGGTATAGCGTAGTAGTTCTCCCCGGTGGGAGCAGTAAAGAAAACCATGTGGCAACTCAACTGACCAGGACGGTGCTGGAACTACTATGGCACATGGGACTGACTGCGAAGGTACTGACACGCTTGGCACACGATCGCACTTATATATCTCGCAGGCCGCCAGCCTGGCGCTACCGGCCACAGTGCACGGCAGGCCCCACCAATGTCAGGGAATAAGCCCTGGGCCTAACTATGATGGCTCAGAATAAACATGCAAACTGCTACTGTGCCACAGTATCATAAAAACCCTACTTACATGTATCAATACACTTAATGTTACTCGTATTTAAGAGGACATTACTGTAATGGTCAAAGATGCTAACAACACTTTGAAAGTTAATGACGGTTACTTTGGGACATTGTAATTTCACAGTCTGATCAGATCCCGAATTCATGAATTCCAGGTTTTATTCATTTTTCCTATGTGTGAAATGTATTTCTGTTAAATGTATTCCCTTTTCAGGGGATATACCCAGTACATATTTCAGCTTCTTGTTTCACCTCCTTTTCCTTTTCATTTCTTTTCTTTCGCATGTATTTCACTTGCACTGAAACAAACCCAAATCTCAACTTGAATCTTACCTGTGACATGTGGTACAAGAAATAACATCAGAAGACTAAACTGTAAAACTGCCATCATTGTTGGGAGAAAATGTATCTGTGAACAAAGTAAAGAAATCATGTATGATCTGTGATGATAAATGACATTATTTCAGTAAAATCTTACAATTTCATTCATCTTATCAATTTCATGCATGATGTATGTATTACAAACATCTCATAAATTGCAATTAATTAACAGATGCTGAAAAAATTTGCATAAAGTCAATCCTGTGTTTCACACAATAACAAATAGCCTTTAACTTTGGAAGTTGGAGCTTCCAATGATAGCATATCTTTGTTACTACATGTACTGAATGAGAGCTACATGTACAACTTAATCTTTGCATATCATATATGCTTATATATGCACAAAATTTGCTTAGAGCATGAAAAAACCTTGCTTGATAAATCAGGTTACCAGCCCAAACTCCATGTGATGTATATTGTATTGGAATGATATTCACCTGTGTTTTTGGTTAGCATGACAATGACTTAGATTTTGAGCTGGTAACCTTTGCTTTTTACACAAGCCTTTTTTTGGCACTTAAGCAAATTTGTGCTTAGGCAGCTCTATGAAAATGGCCTCTGCAGGATGATAGGAACTTTACCAGTGGGCTGCAAACCAGTCACACAGCCTCACTGGAGAGAAGCATGCGGCATTAGAAATTACATTTGGAATTTGTTTGCATCACAAATGCCTCCAAACAAAGAGCATCAAATTTTCTGGACCTTAAACATGGAATACTATACTGCTGTCTCTCAAAAAAGGAAGTGTTTAACTACTTGTAAATGTAAACTGAAGTCGAACATTCTGCAAGTTATCCCTTCTATTTTGTATGAGTCCGGTTAAACTCATCTCCCATCAATATTCCATCCTTATTTCCCTACCTTGGATATACTCCATTTATGTATTCATAATTTGTACATACATGTACCGTATAATTATGTCTTGTGGTAGTTTACTAGTTTCCATATCTCTTAATTAACTTCTTTTTGGTTTTGTATTTCATTGTTTTGTAATATTTGATTGCATGCCTTACACAAGCTTTTGCTGGTTTGCTGCCTCCTTTTGACTTAATTGTCTTCTTTGTATTCTTTATATGTTGTATGATGTAACCTGCTATGAAGAGGAAATAAATTTTATTTACCAATGAAAATGTTATTTTTTTATCGAAGGGTGCTCACTTTAACGGTTTGACTGGAATGGGCAGTATTTGTGTGGAATTGTTGAGGCTACTGATTTTGTCTTGGTCCTGAATACTTGTCTATGACAAAGGAACTTACATTTCTTGTGCTGTTATACTGTTTTCAGGAAAAATTATCTTCACCTAATGTAAAGACAAATTAGTCAGGATTTGGAGGTTGTTAGAGACCTGGACAAAAGTTTGTTGATTATCAGATTTACCCGGAGATTCCTGGAACCAACTAGTTGAAAAATTCACGTTTTTCGATTCTACAAGGAAAAAAATAGTTGAATACATGTTTTAACCATTCAGCAATATCAACAATGCCTTGAAGACGGTAACACCCAAATAAATATGTCTCAAACAGATATGATTGAGGTAAAAGTGGCTGGAAATAATTCCAATGCAGGTGTGGGCACCCTGTTAAGTTCAGAGTCTCTAAATTGTAGTGAAGTGAATGGTATGGTGGCTTAAGGTAGCTCCCTACAAGAACAATTATTACATACAACAATGAAGGTTAATGTACAGTGAACACCTTTCCTTTTGGTCCCAAGGATGAACTTCCTCTTATGTGGAGCTTCCAGCTATTACCACTGGTAAATTGTTGATTTAGTACTGTACGCTGCTGTGCACATATCCTCGTCTTGCCTCAAGTCGTTGTTAACAGAAGCCAGGCAATTGGGTCATATGAATAACAAGCCAATGCTATGAGGTTCAAGCAAACAGCAAAAGCATTATGAATATGGAAATGCTTGAACTTCAATAAAATTTTTCTGTTACGTACTGCACGGCATTGACTAGAAGCAATGGTGGCACATGCAAAATGTTTGTGGTTTGCTGCACAGGTGCAGCCGAAATGTGCTTTCACTGTGTGTACATGTACATGTATGTGTACTACAGACACACATGCAGTTGACTGGAGTTATCACGGTGCTGTTGAAAATAATGCATTTGGTGAAGACTTGTCAGGCTTGTTAAGCTGATTCATGTGTTACTGACAAAGTCACAGTTATTTAAAATAAAAACTGAAAATGGACACTTAAGTAGATAGCAGTTGAGTACCAGCGTGCCAGTGGGACTTAACTGTATAGAATGATAAATTGTAATATGAGCAAAAATTAATAAATTAAGAAGAATAAGTAAATGGCTTGAAAGGGATAAAATGGGAGTAGAAACAAAAGACTTCTAATTAGTCACTGTAAGACTTCTTTGATTATGTAACATTCATTCGTTATAGCATTATTATCAGGCGTAAGTTTATTTTCTGAAAAGGAAAGTTCATCAAAACAAAGTTGGACTGCATCATGATTAATATGATACTCAATGATGATATTTCAGTAGCCATAGCCAATGAAGCAGTAAGAGTAGTCTAAGATCAACTCTGCGTGAAAGTGGGAAATTCCTAAGGGGTGGTTATGTCAGGAGATAATGCCACATAACAGATGCGTAATGGTGACATTTCAAAGAATAAGAGGGGTTACATGGTGGAACGTTTTCCAAAGTGGGGGGCTATTTGTGAGCAGATCATCAGGCATCAGCCAGTAATAGACTGACTTAGAGTAGGGTGTGATGTCCCCCCCAATTGAAAAGGTGGGTGTCCCCACCTCCCCCCTCCACTACCAGTGGTGCTGTCTGTTTAGTATAAGTGTCCAATGACGTCATGAACCTGGGGCTCCTGACACAGAAACTCTTGCATGTCCTTGAAACAACCGTACTGGCGCATAGGAACTGGGGAAGGCCTGTAGGTTTTACTTTTGTTTGGAAGTTGGAATTGTAAAATGTAACCACACCTTTTGGGTCTTCACAACATCTACAGTATGATGAGACTTGAGGCTATGCATGGTGGAAGTACTAACTATGGACAAGTTTGCGGTGACCATGTGGATATATTTGTCTTTTTTGAGTGTGTGTGGTTCTGAGAAGAACCGTGGTACAGTATGAACTATGATTCCAACACGTGTGGTCCCCATATCGTGTGAGTTATGGGAGAGGCGGGTAACTCTTCCATTGGGTTCGTCAAATCTATCTCAAATATTATATACTGATACAAAAGGCAATAAAGCACATTAAAGTTATTCCTAGCATTGCTACATACTCTCAAGTGACCCATGGGAAATAAATCAAGTTCGGATGTGGTGGGCCACTTTACTGATCAGCCCCTCGACCCCCCCCCATAACGTTTTGGGTTGAACGGAAGATAACTTGTATGTTGCAACATTTTGTTGAGAGTACAACAGCCAAATTTGAAGAGAAAAGCAATGAACTAGCACAAAAACTAAACCATACATGTAGGAAAGAGTTCCATATATGTAGGCCTATACACGGACATCACTTAATTAGCACCAGTGCATAAACCCATGACACCTTGTGATATGAGCACAAAAAAACAAACTCTACGGTATTTTCCCCTCAAAATTTTACACTGAAGGATAAGTGTTATTTACTTGTTGGGTGATGTAAGACTTTTGGGAAACTTAAACGATGTGTCCGGATATCTAATGCATGGAGTTTCCTACCTCCAGTCTTACCTTGCAGAAAAATGAAATTCCTGTAAGCATGATCATAAGAATGCATGTCAGACAGAATGCACTGATGCTTGCGGTTGGGGTGAAAAATAAGCCTAGCTAGTGCACTGCGTATAAAATAGCTAGGCCTCTTTTCTTAGTCGTCATCCTATGGTCAAGTAGTAAATAGTAATGAAAACTGGCTTCTGTGGGCGAGATGAGGGATTCACCATTTGTATATCTAATGTCGTCATGCGAATATATTGGGATTCTGTGAATCCCCAAGACCAGCTGATCTTTTGACATCACGGGAAAAACCGCGCACTCCTTTATCAAAGGCAGTCAAACATATGACGTAATGCGGATAAGCGGTGGTTAATTGTGCACGAGCGGGGAATCCCCAGACGCCAGCCAGGGTACTGCACTGATGAGTGGCCCGAACCCCAACCGTCTCGCTAGCATGTATAAATAGTTCGAAGGCAGGACAAAAATTTTGCTTTTTAGAACAATTGATTTTATAAAAAACACCCCCCTCCGAAATAGAAAATGATCGTTATGTTTTCCTAAAACGTGTTTGTGCTTTCAGTTCCGGAAAACAGTCAGTGGTGTTTGGGGGGATTGTATATTTCAACGTTTGTAGATGACTATGACATCATAGGGTTGATGTGAAAAGATAACAGGGTTTCGACTTTTTAGGGAAATTAGAGGGGAAAGTGGGAAGTTGTGGGTGTTTTAACACATGACACATGGTGGAGTCAAATTTGCATGGCTGGTTTATCAGTAAGAAAGTAACATTTTCTTACAGTTTATTTAATTTTGAAATTTCAAAAATGGGGTAATTAAAGTGCAATAACAACAGTGTTGTCTTTGGTTTTATAGGGAATGACCTGATTTACTAGATAAAAATGACAAAAATTGGGAAGTTCCCATACGCCTGGTAATTGCAATCCTTAGGAGAACTTCCCCTCTTCGGTGGGCGCGGCCGGCATTGCACTGATAACATCCTTGCAATTTTTTTGATGCAATGACCGTTAGGTCTGAACTCACTAAAGCTACGTCATAAAATTATTCTCTTGAAAGAGTAAATATTATATTCAAGATACTGCCGTGGATCCAGGGGTTGGTGTCAACACCCCCCCACCTCAAAAGGGGGGGGGGTGGAGTTAAAAAATGGAGAAAATGGAAAAAAAAAACAATGTATGGCATGTATAGTGTTTCATATTTCTGCTTGTCCACAAATTAAAAATGAGACTTAAACAAGATCTCTGGCCTGACCCCCCTTGGAAACTTTCTGCATCCGTCCCTGAAATACACTCCAAATTGCTGAAACATTTCCTTCTTGAACTGATGAGTGTGCCAGTGTGGCGTTATATGATATTTGATTATCCTGTGGTATTATACCGGTAGGTAACTTAATACGCATCAAGCCTGGCATATTGGCCACAGACACAGATACATGATATTCAGAAACTGTTGCATTCATTTTCTTTCAGTACAGTCTATGCTGTTCCACACGATTTACAAGTACTGACATCACATTATGTCGATGGGTTCGGAAAAAGCAAATTTCGCAGTCTAATTTTCCTTCAAGTAGGCCTATAAAACATTGCTAATTGTCGTTGTGTTATCCTCTCCCAAAGCACTGATGCAACCTTGCCTTTTGTCCGGTAATCCCCAAATTGACACATATCTGCCCCGGAATCATGTCCAGCTGTGGCTATAATTCTGGACAAATCTTGTTGGGTCTCCCACCCCCAGACCCCCTTTCAATGTTGGGTCTATGCATGCGGTCTGTCCCCGGCTTGACTTGACAACATTGACCGGGTTAGTTGGGGAGGGGGCTAGAGAGCATATGGCTATTGCCAAATGTCCCGACAATTTTGTCCAAGATTGCAGCAGCAATTTGTGAAAAAATATGCAAATGAAATGATGAAGCTGTCCCTGCTGACACTTATACTTGTAAGAATACACACTGGAGCATTTTATTTTCATTCATCATTTGCTGGGTAAAATACTTTAAATTTATATTCAAAACGTTTAGAAAAATATAAAAGACCATTCAGCATATATACATCACTACATCTTGCACAATGAGGAATGAAATTGTTAAGAATGAACATCAATCAGACAATCAGACAGACATTCAAACAGCACAATTTATACTGTACAAGTAGATTTATACGCGAAGAGATAAAAGAGACAACACAAAAACATAAATGGAGCCCCTGGAAACTAAAGCAAAAAGCAAACTAAATTATTGTTTGGTTGTTCTCCATGTTTCTATAGTTAACAAATTAACAAACTAGAACAAAAACAAGCAAACAAATAAGAAACAACACACATACAATCATACACTTAAAACGACCAGTTAAAACTATTATGGACAAAAAGTGACAACCATTTTGTATAACATCAACAATTCAATACATAGTATACAAAGCTATACTGAATACCACTTGAAAAAAATACATTGGAATTGGTTAGTGGTTAAACTCATTGCCTTCCTGAGTATTTCTTTGACAAGCCTTTATTTGACAATATTAAAAGTACTATCAACTGGTTTAATACAGTAAGCTAAAAGAGAACAAATCATAAAAATTTTGCAAAGCTTTGTTGTGATCGATTGTACTTATATCTGGAAAAGGGAAAAGGGCCTGGAAGCTCTTATACAAATTCTATTCAACTTTCAACTTGATTGCAAGGCAACTCCAAGCTAAAATGGAAAAATGTAACACTGCTACAAACAAAAATGAGTTTTTCAAAAAGTGCAATTAGAACTAAATGGTATTGGTACTTCTGATTATTTCTACTTTCATTTTTTTGAAACTGATCAAAATAGAGCTCTATTAAGATGTGCAATGTGTGTGTTGCCTCCCCCTAGGGGGGAATATTGCCGTACTTAAAGGAATTGGAAGCAAAAACACTTCCAGCTAACCGGTTTTCCAGCATTTCCCTTTAAAACAAAATTCTTAGGTTAATACTTTGGTGTTTAAAGGAGACACAAAACTATCATAACAGACCAGATAAATTGTGACTTTGTTACAATTATTCTTGACTCTGCAAAGGGCAAAAAAGATCCCTGATCCCTGTGTCTGCAAGTAGACTTACATGGAAGACTTCGGCTGTTTTATACATGAAATGCAATGTGACGATTTATCATGATTAGGGCAGTATAGGATGCTTGTGCAATAGTTACAGTTTCAAAACATTGCGCCGGTTGAATTGGTTGCTTTTATAACTACCCTAAAAAACACCTAGCATCTAGTCATATTTGTTGTATGGTTTGTTTGGGCCCATAATGGTGTAATCCACGCCTGTGGTGTGTTTTAGGTGCTGACAATGGATTCTTAAGGGTTGGTGTTTGGTAACAGGGCAAGTGCCTTGGGAAGTTAAAATGACTTTTTAAAACATGAATTCGTTATGAAATTAATTTAACTTCAACACCAAATTACCTTGAAAATAAAGTGACCAAGAATATCAAGTAACAATGCTTCATAAAAATGAATCTCTGAGTTAACATCTAAGACATTCAGTTACCATGTGGAGTTCATATTAACATTGTCAATGTGATTTACAGTTATATGTCATTTTACATGCAAAGCAAAGTATTTACTTGGTCTTGTTTACTTTAAGGCTGTTTTTGTCGACTGTATTTTGCTTCCTTTGTACATTAGGGTGTGGTGAATTTCAAAAAAATCTGAATTTTAAGTTCTGCATAGGCTAGAATGATGTTCTGGCAATATTTAAGACCTACCATATTGAAAAAAAGAAATTCAAAAGACTTTGCCCAACATGGTTGGAATTTCTCCCCAAAAGTGCTGAGTCATGGTGAATTGCACTTGATTGCATTCTGGTCACATTGTACACTTTCCTCATTTGTTGGTATGTAAGCCATCTTATCTGTCATTTACTAATTGAGGTATCAAATTTGCATAGATATAGGTCCCCGGGCTTAATTTCCAAAGAGCTGGGTTAAACACAGATGTGCCATTTTGGGAAGTTTTCTACATGTCGAGTCCATGTGTTCCGTTTAGAAGTATATGGACATGTACTGCCAGTCCTTCGCATAAACAATCCCAAAGAATCCTGCTAAGGTTGAATCAGATGTTTTGTGGTCAGTAGCCTGGGCATATGGCCTTTAGTATTACATTTAAGACTGCACAAGAGTATATCGGTACATGCAATCTACACATGTGCTCTTCAGAAACTAAAGAGATTGCAAAGTAATTATTACTGGTTGTACTCATCATGATGGTTCCTTTTGAAGAGAACCAGATCTGCTACAAAGTCTCTTGCTTTTCATAGACTAGAGTACTGAGTTTAAAATAAACAAAACTGAGCTCTGGTGAATTGAAATGTTCCCGACAGATAAACTTTTTGATGAGTGAGATTTTTCCCCCAAGTGGCGACTGAAGGGATCGTGATTGGGCAGTGTGCTTCAATAAAAACATCCAATGCTGATGCAGTTGCAAAGAACATTAGGAATTGGTACAAATATAGAGTAAACTTCAGCCATATATCTGATGCTGTCAGGTCAAAAATTATGAGATTCAAGGAGTATGAGCCCAATCCTTAAAAATTTCTGGATATCTGCAGCATGGTGGACATCACTGACAGCATGTTACCAAGACAATCTACAAGTTTCTACTTTCAAATAACTTTATACAGAACAAAATAATGGCTAGAGATGGCCTTAAGATCAATGTTGGATGGCCGGCAGGTGCTCTCTATCACCTTGAGATGTTCCTAAAGGAGACCACTGCAAACATATACATGTAACACAGCACAGAACTACCTATACGATTGGTCATACTACATGATCACAGTCATTCAGTGAACAATTATTAGGAGGAAAACATTAAAGGAACAGCTTTGAGCTTTGCACACAGAAAAGTGGGAGGTTTTAGAGCTTCCTTTGTACAAAAAAAAAGAAAAACCAGAGAAAACTGCACAGTCAAAAAAAAGAAAGAAACCAGAGCTGAAAAACCTTTTGAAAAAAACCAAAAGCTGGTTCACCATTACTCAGTACTTTTGGGGAGAAGTTTCAATCCATTTTTAGGTTGGGCACAGTTTTTTTGAAATTTGTTTTTCAATATGGTAGGTCTTAAAACATCGCCAGAACATCATTCTAGCCTTTTCAGAACTTAAAATTCAAACTTTTTTTAAATTCACTACACCCTATTGTACATGGTACTTTAAAAGTTATTTATTATAAATTCTATTTATCACATGAGTTATTTACATTCTTAATCTTGCAAGCAAATGGAAAAGTCTCAAGGAAAGACTTTTGCAGAATTACAGTGGTATTGTTATCTAGACTGTTAAAGAACTTATTAAGTACAACTTACAACTTTTAAAGGAAGAAAGAATTGAAAATTCTCTACCGAATTTACATCAAAAAGTGAATGAAAGAGAATATTTTATATCACTTCTTCCCGAAATGTAAAAACAATCAAAATATACATTGTCACATGTGGCTTTTCTTTTTATAAGGTAATGATTCCCTTTACCTGCATAAAACACAAAATGAAAGACATTACAGTTATTTGAAAACATAGATAAACAGATATCCCCAAAGGTTGTTTCCTACCATTAATCTCTTAAGAACAGGTGAAAAGACAAACTGTTGCTGGCAATGTCAGGAAAGCTCATGGGTTATAAAGGATTTGCAGAGACCCCTGATATAGCGAAACAGAAAGTACACTTGTCGTTGCACATATATGCAATTCAGTGTAAACCTGAACGGGGCTGCCACAGAGCGTCCAACCTTTACAAAGTCATTCTTTAGTCATTCTTTGTACTAAGAAAGCAGAAAATAACGAAGTCAATCACAATATCAATATTTTCCTCACGTTGATATCTTCCCTTAGATTTTTATTCATGGTATTTTACAGTTTGGGCATGATAATCCTTAAATCTTTCTGGCTTTCACAACACTGCATCTGAGTGCTATGGTTTAGTTTAATTTGCTGCGCAGGATTACAGCACAAGCTTCATCCATCTTCTCATCTTTCCAGCTATTGGAAAAGGGTCACTCGCCAATTAATTATACATTTTGGACATTCTCTGCTGAAACCTTTTAGCTGGCAACTCTCAAATTACGAGTGTGACCATGGTGAAAAGCGATAACAAAAATGTCATAGCATGGCTACATGAGTACCTGAGTTGACATTGTACTCAGACCTGCATGGAAGGGATTTGCTGTAGATGTTGCAGCATTCTGAACTTTTTAAATGGGGTGATAGATATCACTATCAAAAACCAACCCCTAGTTCTGGCAGACATCAATACTCGCCAACCCAAGCATGCCTTGTGAAAAGCTTCTTCCAGGGAGCTTGATTGCGCTAGTGTTTCCCATCGATGTTTTCAGTTTCAAGGCAGTCTCTAGCTAACTCCCTGTGCTCCCTCATGATGCGAAATCAGAACACTGGCCACGGGTGGAACCATTTGTACTTGGGTCTCTGGATCCTTGTCATTATTTTTAGGAACATTTCCACAACATCTCACTACAGATCTTTTCCTTGATTGAAGGAAATGACAAGAAATTGCATAATCATTCATAACCCTGTTGGTTAAAATTTACAGTCTAATAGCTTTACAGGCTGCATGTTAAGACAGGAGATCAGGGCTGTTTTCCAGTACTCGACTTGGGCTCCATCTCAGGCTTCAACTGTTTTTTTACTTCCTGACTCTGAGGTTATAAGCGCAATAGTAAGTCTGATAGTGCCACAGAACATCAAGTAAAATGCAAAAGAGCCAAAAATTGCAGTACTCTAATTTAAGTTAATCGCTTCAGGCCCACAATTGAGGATTGGCTTCCTATACGAAGCCTGAGACGGAGACGAAGTTGAGTATTGGAAAACGGCCCCAGTATTATAAGCAACACATGATGTTCTGGAAGGTTTCCCCTTATCTCTGAATGTTTCTCGACATTGTGGCTTTATAGTATTGAAACAAAATGATAATAAATAGTTCTGAAATAAAAGATTGTAGGAACAATCCTTGAAATTCATATGAAGAAAAAATGTAAGGTTTTTCACCTTTTCTTGATCAACCAAAAGCAAACCAGAGCAAAGACAACCATCCCCAAGATGACACATACTGCTGCCAGAGCCACCGTGTAACCCATGTTGTCACTGCTGTTAGGAGCTGCAGTCCCCCCAAAATGCGTTTGATTTTCAACACCTTCTCCTACAGCAAGGATGCAAATTGAGAAACAGAATTGCAATTCGTAAGCACACGATATCTTGGTTCTGAAGAAATCAACAGGCTATAGTATGTAATACCACTTTTACACACACATTGACTCTATTTTTATATAATTCCATTTATACAAACGTACTTTGGTTATTGGTTCACGAATCTGGAGAAAAGAACAGTACACCTACTAGTATACTCGTGAAATTGATTCACAAATTGAATGGAAAGATGCATTAGTGAAATCGATTCACAAACTGAACGGAAGATCCATTATACACTTTTGACTTATGCTCCCATCTCAGATTTCTTTGGGCCAACACTACTGGCCAACATTTACACTTTGTTGGTTAATGTATGTCGTACCTTTTGTATTCACTGTACAAATACAGCTATAAATATTATTCCTGGTCACTATCACTCTAAATAATCCTGACTGATGGAGGGTAGGAACCAAGCCAGCCCAGCCCATCCAAGCCTTGCTAAAGTGTTCACCACTGACAGGGGACTTGATTACAATGACATGTCTACTTCCATATACATGTATGTAAATTACTTGATGAAACTGAGTCATGAGTCACTAGAGCCACTTTTTGAGTTTTCATTTGTATTGAAAAGAGCAAATTGAGTTTTTTGTTTTGATGTATCACTCAGTTTGGCACCCTGATGAAAGTGGATACTCTTATGGTGAAAAATGTTGTGGGTTCCTATTGATTTACACTGTACAAAATTATTCTAAAGGACTTTTACTCCAAAGTGGTTCTGATGACTTGTGACTCATTTTCACAGAGTGGGTCACATATATCACACTCAAACATACCTGCAGTAGGACTTTCCGTGGTTTGGGGGACTTCATTTGAGCAGGATGCATCATTGGCTATAAAATCAAAGAGAAAATATGAAGATAAAAGGGTCTACATCCATTGACTACACAGTATACATTCTGCAATGTTCAAACAGCCAATACACATACAGGTTTTACTAAAACATTCTGCAGAGGTTCAATTATTGACCTATCAAGTGACATAATGCAAGATTACACATCATACACTGTCAGTGGAGATTAAAAAAAAATGGTCAATGCGATCCCCAAAAATGTGAGTTAATTTAAGCCCCATCCCTTACAACCACTGCACTGTGCATCTTCAAACATCCCTAGGTCAAAGCACTATGTGTTTCTCTTTTCAAACTTTCAGGTTCAAAAATATTCTCCCACATCCTTGCCCTTTTAACCACACAACAGACAAAAACTATTGCCGTAATGTGAATTTCTTACTTTTTATCCAGAAATTTAGAGTTGTCTCTTGTGGCTTGAAGTTTCTGCTATCCTGATGAATGATGAGATAGGGCCCCACATCATGACAGCTTGGTGCTGGGAAGTACAGTTCCGGCATCAGTCTACGGCCAGCCATAAACCGGATGCAAGGTTCCAAGCCTCGATTTTCAATGCTGACTTCAGAACAGTCATTGAAGGGTATCCTTTCTCCACTGTTAGAGATTTTGAAAACCTTGAAGGATCCTCCACACTTCAAGTTGAATCTTATTTCAAACCCCCTCTGGCCAGGATCGATCATTTTGACATCTTCAGAGAGCACTGGGGGAAGTCATAAAACAATGAAATACTTCTTAACTGAAACCAAACATCAGAATAGATAAATTAAGGAGTCTATTGAGGCTAAGTAATACAGCAAAATGCAAAGAGCATACATGTGCGCACGTACACAATGTTTCAACATGTTCAAGGAAATTTTGTGTTCAGCCATGAGGTAAGAAATTACTTCTTGCAAATGTTTAAGAAAGACATTTAGCAGTATATGCCGTAGTCAAAATTAAATCAATATTCAGACAAATACCCCTTTGAAAAAGAATATCAGATCCAGAATTCATGCTAGGGAAAACAAAGTCAATCACAATCATGTACAATCACGATAAAGAATATATACAAATCTGAGAAATATCGATGATTCAATCATAGCTTGCAGAAACTTACTACAGTGTGTCTTGAATTTTATCAATCAGAAAGTTTGGACCCACATTTCCCCCCCTCATACCTATCTTCTGCACTCCAACGAAATTTTATTGAATACAAGCACATGTAGCCTCGTCTTTATCAAGATTGAAACAGTCACTTACAAGAGTCATCTTGGATCAAAATGTCTACCCTGGAGTCTTCTCCGCCTTGTCTTGTTACTTCGCCATCCTTCATGACATAGCTGTCACAGTAACTGATGTGCTTGGCAGTTACATACTGGTACTGCATTGTTAGGGTGGTCACCAACTCACATTTCTCTGAGTCACAGTCTCTGTAGCTATCAAGTCCCTCCAAATTGTTCACTTCAACCTGCGTTCCGTTTGGCAGATACCCGTAGCAAGAAACTTGAAGTGTCTCATTAGGCTCTGCGTTCTTGGTTTTCCACTTGAATTGGTGGCTACCGCTATCCCAAGTGGAGTAACAGGCATCTTGTGGAGAGACAATTGGGATTGTTGCTCTCCCTGAAATGAGAACAAAGAACATAAACATAAACTACACGCGAGGGCTTAATTTAAGAGACTAAGTAGAACTGAACAAAGAGAAAAACATGGAAAGAGAAATAAAGGGAAGCTGGGATCCTATTTTACCTGTTGCAGATTGCCCGGTCAATAACAGACTTAGCAGGGCCAGCGTGACAACAGCCATCATTTGCATCTGGAAAGAAAATTGTTTCTTGTTAGTGAAGCAATGTAAGTTGTGATAATGTTAGCACAAGTATAGTAACATCTGGCTCTTGCATTCTACCCTGAAGAGTCTGAAGTGCTACATTTATATTGTAATTCCAGAAATTAGGGGTCCAAAAGTGTGACATTTTGTGTTCCTGTTACATCTGACCTTTGTTATTGGACATGGAAATATCACCAGAACAGATTTCAAACTATTACTTTTTGTTTGGCAAGTAATTCGCATTAATTCACCACTCTTGGAAATTAGAAAATGTGTTCTGAACTTACAAAATCACAAGTCAGATGTGACAGGGACAAAAAAATGGACCCTTAATTTCTTGAATTACCCTTATCCTGGAACTATTGAAAAGCTCCACAACTACATGTATGTGCTCAACCCGGAAGTATATGCACAGAGGGAGGTATTACACAGGGCAACATTGATTCCAGACTCAGGGGCAATTTCTCTGCATTCAGCCTAATCTCTTTTGTAAAACTTTACATGTATACTTCAAACTCATTGGTGCAAAAGACAGCTGTAATTGAATCAATTTTGGTTTTCCAAGCCAAGAAGGAGGATTCTAAATGCAACGCGTGGATTCAGAAATCCAGTTTCAGATCCAATGTTTGGGAGGAAGGACAGGGATTTAGGGCATTTCTTTATGTAATCTTTATGGCCTTTCTGAGACGAGAGGCCAAGTTCTGGCAATTTTTAAATGCTTGGGAGGAAGGGACATGAAAAAAACTCGTTCAATTATTTCAAAAATAGAAAAATTTCCCCTTTTAGCATGTTGCCTCATCTACTATCCCTGGACCAGCTAGCGGTAAAAGCAAATCTAATTTGATGGTTGCATTCTTACAAATCTACACTTTGAAATGGCTAACACCACTGCTGAAAGTTGTGTTTTTTGTTGAACAAATTAATGATGCATGCCTGATATTACTTCAAAATGTCCTGACAGGAACAAAAACATTTTTGTACAGGTCTTTAGGTTCTTAGTCTGCAAGCCTAGCATTAAAAACCAAGTGTAGTTTTTCTGAAAGCCAAATACATGTAATCATGTTCTGAAAAACTAAAACATATGTATTATTAAATTTATCACTTCCTTGATGGTAACAAAGTTCTTTTCAATATTAATTTCCCTGAAAAGAAAAATCCTGTAAATGTGCTTTAAAGTATTTCTCCTCAAACGACATCCTAGTTTCGCTTATGAATATGAAAACTTGCATTAGCATTTAGCAAAGAAGCACCAAGGGGCACCAGAACATTTTAAAACACCAATTAAAAATACAATTACAAAATAGGATTAACTGAAAAAAATACAAATGTTTATTTCCAAAGGTTGTAAGTTTAAAAATAATGCATTGGATACACCTTCAGAAATGAACATCAATGTATTTGCCTCAAATAATGTCTTGAGGCATTTGGGGGCCATGCACTGTCCATGTTAGTCGCAACGTAATGAAGATGTGCAATCTAGGTTAATAATCCTCAACCTCAATGCACATACACTCTCCAGGAGATTTAGCACAACTGCCAGCTATTTTAAATCTTACAGTTTGTCGAACATGTTTCTTATTTATTAGCCTGGCTTCCCATTAAATTTCAATACTGAAATCATTTCAATGGATATGAAACCAAAGATAAAAGAACTATCAAAACAATAAATTTTCTGGAAATTCTGAGCAGTGTCTCGAATAGGTCAAATAAAGCCGGGGTCAGGTTTAACTTCTCCCATGGGCCAGTTCATCAGACATTTTGTAGCCTATTGTCTGGCCCGGTAGAGGATTTAAGAGTAAATTGTAAATGTACATGAAGACCTTGTGTTGGTGTTGGTATTTTTTTGGGGGGGTGCCAAGAATTCCATCTCAAACACAGATCAGAAAGCTACTGTTAAATTGAATGGCAGCCAAGTTTCATTCAGTTTGTGCTAGCTTAACTGATCAAGGGCAGATCCAGCATCAAATGCGAGTGTGTGATATGAAGCCAAATGTACATGTAATGGAGACAATTTAAAATTCATTGCCATGCAGGTGGTTGAGGGCGCCTAGTGTGCCTTCCAGTGCCAATTAGTTCTTTCCATTTCTTTCCACTGATGTGTAATAAGAAGCCCTTTAATACTCTATAAACGCAAAATAAGGAGTGTACATGCACAATCAAATGGCCCAGTGCTACAAATTAAGAATGCTAAGCTAAGGAACAATGATATGTCTTTTCAGATGAGTTTTAGGGGTGGAGTTACTCAAGAAAGTTTTGCAGAAAGAGTTCCACACTTGCACTTCACTTGACACCCTGCTCGTGTTTCTAAGTAAATGAGCAGCCAGTTTCCCTCTGAGTGCTAAATTTGGCTTTTGGGTCATGTTAATGTGATCGTTTTGTGATGGTTGACGTATTACTGCAAGGAAAAAATAGTGATGTCTATGGGTGGAATTCTTCCCACAATAACCATCTTCTTGGCTGATTGTCCTCCTTGTCATGTTCGTTGAATGCCCATGTCCAAACGTAGGAAATAAGTTGTCAGAAAGAGTGTTGCATCCTGACTGTCGACTTCACCGTGTGCAATGACTGATGTTTATTAACGAAGGAATAAACATGGTGTTCCTTCCTCCATGAATAAAGTAAGATCCAAACTGATCGGATTTGACTAAGAAAAAGCAGCACATGAAACTGAAATGATTCTCACCTTTCTTCGTTACAGTTTTCTCCTACAAAGGGGAGCAGCAGGTGGCGTGTAAAGCACACAATTCTAGCTACTCCAGGTCGTACGTACGTCTGTGTACTAGGCCGAAGTGTTTACCTTGTTTTAATGCGTTGCCTTATAAATATTTTCACCGTCGTAGTTCCATCCGTCATCTAAAACAAAAGCTCACTATTGTCGTATCAATGTGCACCGTAGCTTAAATCATGTGTTCCTTCCTCCATGCTTAAATACATTGACCGGTCTCTGAAGCAATATCATACACATGTAAGCTGGCCATGGAAATTCCGAGGCTAATAATAACAATTACATCATTGGGAGTAATTGGCCACTCTACAAAACGACCCCAGGATTGACTGGTTACGTGGGTACAAGGTGAAAATCCCTTCAGACGAGTGCAGTGTGACACTTTGACCTGTATCTGGCTATGAGGTTGATCATGCGGGGTGCATTTTGGTGGCGGGTTTTTTTTTTTTTTTTTTTTTTTTTTTTTTTGC